CCCCTCCGATTTCCCCCCCCTTCATTCCTCCCCTCCCGCTACCTTCTTCTTCTTCTTCTTTTTTTTTGAGAAAAATATTTTTGTAACGTTGTTTGATTAAATTCTTCCTCATCTCCCCAGCGCTGCTATGGTTTTCCAACTCCAAATTGCCATTTACTAGATTACTCACTAGATAAGTTTGTTTCGGATTATTTAGCATTAGATGTACTTGAGCCTTAGTGCACAATAAATACACAGTAAATATGGATGGTATTTTTATCTCTTCAGATATGAAAGAGCCATATATATTCTGTGAAGTGGTGTGTGATTTGAGGCCATGATGGAAAAATACCCCTTCTTTCAGGGCTAGCATAAGTTTGTACACTGATTGTTTTTTTTTGCCATTGATTATTTAAAGTAGGCTTCTCTAAAATTAATTTGAATTCCATGTAGTCACCCTTTTATCTTAAAGAATCCTATTCCTTTTGTGTTTCTAAAAATTGAAGATCATGGTTCCATTTCATAACTGATCAAAATATGTAGTACTTTTGGTGTAATTTGTTTTTCAATATGAAATTTTTCTGTAATTAATGGGAAACCTATGGTTCTTTATATCTTGTAGCCATCTCTTCCAAATATATGATCAAGGAATTACCACCCAAAGAGACCAGTAATACAGAGGAAGTATTGCAGACGGTTATATTGGAAAGACATAAAAGCCGTGACACCGACGATTATGCTTTTAGAGCGATCCAGAAAAATATTCCTGACTTTGAGTGTCAGTGGGGAGACGGTGAAAGAAATTACAAAGCAGTGCTTGTGACCCTTAACAAAAATCTCAATGGTGGAAGAGATCAATATGGTGGAAGAGATGCAGGAAATAAGCCAATTGAAAACAGGTTTGGACTAAGCTTTCAGTCACATCTGGCTGGAGTGCAGATACTTCATACTGAAGGGAAAATTTATGAATGTCACCCAGCTGAGAAGTCTGTCAGCGTTGGGTCTTCAGTTTCACCACATCCCAGAATTCTTCCTAGTGTCCACACCAGCATTTCTAGTGAACGTGGGAATGATTTCTTGCGTTCTTCGTTACTCACACAAGACCGGAAAGCACACCTTAGGGAAGAACCTTACAAACGTGATGAGTGTGACAAAGCAGTTAATCCCAGTTTACACCTCACTAGACATCAGATAATCCGTCCAGGAGAGAAACCATATAAATGTGATGTATGTGGGAAGGTCTTCAGTCACAACTCACACCTTGCATGTCATCGAAGAATTCACACCGGAGAGAAACCTTACAAGTGCGTCGAGTGTGGCAAGGTCTTCGGTCGCAATTCACACCTTGTGCGTCATCACAGGATTCACACTGGGGAGAAACCTTACCACTGCAATGAGTGTGGTAAAGCCTTTAGTGAGTGTTCAAGTCTTACTAACCATCAGGTAATCCATACTGGGGAGAAACCTTACAAGTGCAACGAATGTTGCAAGGTCTTCAGTCAGAGTTCAGGCCTTGCAAGCCATCGAAGAATCCATACTGGAGAGAAACCTTACAAATGTCCTGAGTGTGGCAAAGCCTTTACGTATAGTTCACAACTCACTAACCACCAGGTAATCCATACTGGTGTGAAGCCTTACAAATGTACTGAGTGTGGCAAAGCCTTTAATCAGAGCTCACATCTCACTAGACATCAAATAATCCACACAGGGGAGAAACATTACAAGTGTGACGAATGTGGGAAGGTCTTCAGTTACGATTCACACCTTGCTCGTCATCGCAGGATTCATTCTGGAGAGAAGCCTTACCAGTGTAATGAATGTGGCAGAGCCTTTAGCATGTATTCAAGCCTTACTTATCATCAGGTAATCCATACGAGGGAGAAACCTTACAAATGTAATGAATGCGGCAAGGTCTTCAGTCAGAGTTCGAGCCTTCCTAGTCATCGGAGAATTCATACTGGGGAGAAGCCATACAAATGTAATCAGTGTGGCAGATCTTTTATTCAACGCTCAAACCTCACTAGACATCAGATGATTCATACAGGAGAGAAACCATATAAATGTAATGTATGTGGGAAGGTCTTCAGTCAAAATTCGAGCCTTGCAAGTCATCAGAGAATTCATACTGGGGAGTAACAAACGTAATGAATGTGACAAAGCCTTTATTGTAAGTTCAAGCATGAATTGGCATTAGAGAGTCCACCCTAAAGAGAAACCATATAAATGTAATGCATGCGGCGGAGGACTTACACAGGCTTCACAACTCACTAGACATCAGGATATACATCTCTGATGAAACCACATTAATGTAATGTGCATGCTAAGGCTTTTGCCCGTGGATCAAAACTGCAGAACATCACAGCACTCAGACTGGAGAGCAGCCTTGCAAGTTTAATGAATCTGAAGGCTTTCTGGCAAACATTCATGCTTTTGATGTCATGAGAGTATACTAGAGAGAAACCTACAGATTTACTGAACATCTAAAGGCCTTTAAAGCAACAGTGTGTCCTCGGGGTTCACCAGTTCATCGTAGAACAAAATAATCCATAATAGGAAGAAGTCTTCCAAATGTAATGAATATTTTTATATTTCTTCCATGACTTTCACAACAGAATCCACATCAGAGAATTCTTATGAGGACTAAAATAACTCTCAAGTTCTCTAAATTTAACCTGAGATAGTACATACCACAGAATAATTTAAAGCCAAAATGTGTTACAACTCTAGATAGAAAAAAAAGATACATAGAGATACAGCAAAGGTATATAGATCCTGAAGATATTATTCTGTTGTTTCTTTTCTAAATCTTTTCTAGGTTAAAGTATTATTGTTTTACATTTCACATTTAAAACTATGATCATTTTGAGCTACTATTTGTACAGGTGTGAAGTTTTTGCAGACTTTTTTTTCTTTTTTTCTGTTAAGGGAAATCAACTGGTCCACCATCATTTTTTTTTTTTTTTTAATTCTCTCTTCATTCGGTTTCCTTGGTACCTTTGTCAAACCTCAGTTGGAAGTACTCGTGTGGGGCCATTTCTGGCCTTTTCCATTGATCTATGTCTCTTACTCCACAAATACAATGTAGTCTTGATTACGTTTCACCATATTAGAAATGTAGAATGAGTGATTCCAACCACTTTGTTCTTCCTTTTAGGGTGGTTTTATTTTTTTTAATTTTTTTTTTAAAGATTTTTTTATTTATTTGAGAGAGAGAATGAGATAGAGAGAGCATGAGAGGGGGGAGGGTCAGAGGGAGAAGCAGCCTCCCCGCTGAGCAGGGAGCCCGATGCGGGACTCGATCCTGGGACTC